CACACACACACACACACACACACACACACACACACACACACACACACTGCCTGGAACCTAGCATGAGCTTCTCAAAGGCTAATTCCCTTCGTTGTTGATGCCTTAAAAGCTGAGGGTACCAGGCTTTATGAGTGAGATGAACAACAAAAATGTCTCAGGGAGAGGCGAGCAGGAGAGTGGGGGCGTGGAAGTAAAGTTGGGAGGAGGAGGCTTCACTGACCTTTGTTGCCCTGTTGGAGGGGAATAACCCAGGACTCTGCAATAGTCCAAACTCAAGATGAAGTGACTTCTCAATCATTCGCCTATTCATTAGTCTATTCTACTTAAATAGGCTCCTTCTATTCAAGTAGAAGGGAGATGGCTATAGAGAGTTTATCTGTAGGAATGACGGCTGCAGTCTATGCAATGTTTTGTAACTGACCAACTGCGTTCATGGTTTTCATCTCTCTTGATCTCCTCCTATAATGAAAGACTGTTTTTTCATGTTCATTTTTCAAATGAGGACACTGAGGCTCAGAAAGCTGGAGCAGGAAAGTAGTTAAGGGTGAAGTCTATGGATTCAGACTGCCTGGTGCTTCCACTTACTTCCATTAATTTCATTACCTTATCTGTATAGGTTAGATTTGCTGCATTTTTAAAACCCCAGACTTAAGTCATGATGGCACCACTGCATTCTAGCCTTGGCTACAGAGTGAGACCCTGTCTCTTAAAACAAAACAAAACAAAACAAAACAAAACAAAACATAATGGCTTCAAGCAAGAACCGTTTTACTGTGCTTTCACTTTTGTGGGTCAGCTGGGTAGTTCTGCTCTGGGCCAGCTCTGCCAGTCTCTGCGAGTCTTCCCATATGTCTGCAGTGGCTTCAGGTTGGTCAGTGGCTGGATGACCTGGGATGGTCTCACGTCTGTGTTTGGCTGTTAGCAGGTGGCCTGATCTCAGGGGGTCTCAGTGTGCCAGCTCATTTCTTGGCTTCCCACCCTGGGTGTGACGAACCTGGGCTGCCTTGCAGAGAGCTCTTGGGCTTCCAATAGCAGCCAATAGAGAAAGTCCCAATGTGCAAACACTTTGCATGCGCATTTGCTGATGTCCCTTTGGCCCAAGCAAGTCCCATCACCAGGTGCAGAATGAATGTCAGAGATGACTAACTCCCCAGGGAGGTGGATCCAGGGAGGGGTACAAATCAGGGACCACCGCAGCAACCATTGAACTCACTGTCTTGGCCTCTTTCTCTTCTGGCAAGGCAACTTAGTAGTAAGGCCTTTCTCATTGGGTGGTGTAAAAATTAAATGATCTATTACGTATGCGAAGTGCTTAGTGTAGTTCCAGGAACTCAGTGCTCCACTCCAGGAATGGTGATGGTATTATTGTCGTTGTTGTTGTTATTTGTATTCTTAATTAATAAAGCACAGATCTAGGATTTGGGTTTCAGAGACCCTGCCTGCTTTGGAGAAAGGCTGGCTGAGGTTGGAGTGGATCACCTGGAAAGTCCTTTCCTCATGGAGGTGACTGAGATTCTTTCTGTTTGGCAGTTTTATATCTTATCCATTAGCCTCTTTCTTGTTGCTGATAATGCTAATTTGTACAGCACTTTACAATGAGTAGGTGCTGAGCATGTCTTAACTCTCACAGAGATCCCATGTAGCTAGGCTCAATATTTATCCCCATCTTGCGGAAGCTGAAAGAAGCTAACAACTCCACCCAAGTTCCCACAGCTTGTAAGTTGCAGGAATCTGTGCTCTAAACAATCAATGAATCTGCCTGGGATAAGTGCAATGTAATCTTTTATAGGCCTACAAAGTGATTTAAGAATAACCCTACTCAGGTATAGGGGAAAAGCAAGGTTTGTTTGTTTTTTTTAAATTGACAAGTCCTCATATTGTTTTTCCTAACAGGCCCACTGTGTGTGCAGTAAGCACTTTGCAAAACATCTTTATAACTGTTAGGTTTTATTCAAAATACCTGTCGTAAGCCTCCGAACATGTGAATTTAGCTAAAAATAATTAGATTATATGTGGGTGACTTATTCTTATAAAATGAGTATAACAGCATCTGCCATAACTGAGTCCCATAATTTACGACAAGAGGCAATGTTAGCTGGTGGGAAAAGCTCAGATTCTAAGATCAGAGACCCACTGGGGTTCTGTTGGGCAAAATAATTTTTTGAGCATCTCTGGACATCACTTGGTGATTTAGGCAAGTTACTCAACTTTTCTGTGCCTCAGTTTACTCATCTTTGCAACAGAAATTATAATAGTATATTTAATTCAGAGGATTATTGTAAAAAGTAAATATGTTAATACATATAAAGAGATAAGAAGGATTCCTGTTCATTGGTAGCCACTGTGTATTGGCTATTATCACCATCACCACCACCACCATCACCATCATCATCACCTTTGCTACCACCATCACCACTACCATCATTACCATCACTGTCATCACCATCATGACCATCACTACTAACAGCACAATCACCATCATCATTGCTACAACCATCATCGCCATCACCACCATCACCATTACCATTACCATCACTACCACCACCAACACCATCACTACCACCACCATCACTGCCACCACCATCACCATCACTACCACCACCATCACCACCACCATCATCATCACCATTGCTACTGCCATTACCACTACCATCATCATCATCGCCACCATCACCATCATGACCATCATTACCACCACCATCACCATCATCATCATTGCCACAACCATCACCTTCACCACCACCACCACCACCATCACCATCATGACCATCACTACCACCACCACCATCACCGTCACTACCACCACCTTCA